GCAATCTCTTTCCATAAGGTCACCATCCTGTTAACCCGCGGAGAACAGTTTTTTAAATATTAAGAATAACCATGTAATTTTATCAGTTATGATTCATAGTTTTTCTAAAATGGTGATATAAACAATTGCATCTCTTATCTCACAGTGTTATAGGAACGAGCATATTATGTTAGATCCATGTTTATTCCAGTTAATACCCCATGCCTCTCAGCAAGAAGCTCAGGGGAGGGCGTGGGATAGTGAAAGGGCATGCTTGTTCCTCTTGATAGCAGCGAACATTAAGGTCATACCAAAAAGCTTCTCAAATGAGAACTGAACACGCTAGCCTTCATTTTCTGATCATCAGTCGGCTCTCCTCTATCTTCAAAGTTACCAGCAATCTTCTGTTTACCAAGCCCACAGATGAGTGCTCAGTCCCCTTACTCAGCCTACCAGCTTCCTGCAGCCCCATTGATTCTTCTTGGCTACTTCCTGCGTGCTAAGTGAAATGCTTTCTTCATCTGCCTCTTGAGCTACCGGGCTTTCCTGCTTTCCCCTCCATCCCTACCTACATGTCTCTACATTTCTATATTTTTAAAAAATCACCTTATTGGGGACTCTTAAAGCTCTTATAACACTCCATATGCATCAAGCATATTTGTACATATGTTGCCATCATCATTTCCAAAACATTTTCTACTTGAGCCCTTGGTATAAAGCTCCTCTTTTTCCCCCCCTTCCTCCCCCACCCTCGTGTATCCTTGATCAATTATATATTGTTACTCTTATTTCGTATCTTAAGCTGTCCATTGTCTCCCTTTACCCATATTTCTGTTATTCGTCCCCTTCGGTGGTACGGTGGGGGGAATGCTATATATACAGTTTTGTGCCGGGTTCCCCCTTCCCCCTCCCAACAGACCATGCCCCTACCCTCATGATATCGCTGTTCCCATTACTGTTCCTGAGGGGGTTATCTGTCCTGAATTCCCTGTGTCGAGAGCTATTTGTACCAATGTGTGTTCTCTGGTCTAGCTAGATTTGTAAGGTAGAACTGGGTCATGGTAGTGGGGGGGGAGGGAGGCATTCAGGAACGAGAGGAATGATGTGTGTTTCATAGGTGCTATACTGCACCCTGGTTGAATCGTTCTCTCCTTATAACCCTTCTGTGGAGAGATGTCCAGTTATCTACAGATGGGCTTTGGGTCTCCACTCTAACACCCCTCT